TACTGCCCCCTAAAAAGCCGCTCAGTTATTTCTATTAAAATTTGAATTTCATCAATTAAAAACCGTGTGGGAATTTATTTTTTCTCTTTTTCCGAGTATCTGTATACTCGGTATCACGTAAATACTCATCCATATACTCTGAGTATCTAATTTTGCCTCTTGGTCCACAAAAGGTAATATGTTTACTGTCTGGCTGTAAGCGTTTGCCAGCCCCTGCTCTATCCCAGTCAGAGACTTTGCTGGAATATAAATGTTCTCATGTTACGGACTTCTTTTTATCCGACGGCCCTACAGACTGCAGGTGCCTGCACGACGTGCTCTCTGGTCTGCCGGGGGTCGTGCTGGTGGCCTGCGTTTGGGTGGCGTTGACAGTTGTGTTTCTGGAGCCTTCCGCCCCTGCTCTGGTCTGGAGTGGCCGCGCTCTCGGCCTGCAGCCCTCTGTTCCCTGACTTTTTGTTGCTTTCCTGTGTTAGTGCCTGGGGTTTCCCCTGCTCGATCGGTTGGTTTACTCCTGTGTTTTGTTGGAGCTTGTGCTCTCATCGGGTACACAGGGACGCACATTCTTTTAGTTCTCTAATGTCTGAACATGCCCTCGTGCTGCTCCCGCGGGTGGGAGGTAGTCCGGACAGGCGCAGAAAGGTGGGTTGAGTCCTGTCGCTCAGGTCTCGGGTTTGGGCCCGTCGCCTAGTAGCCCTGGCTGCTGCAGGGTGCCCTCACACCCTCCCAGTCCTCATCCTCCTGTGCGTAATTTGGACAGTCGCCGAGCAGGTCGGCACTGTGGTTGCGCCACGCCAGGAATAGCGGTGAGCGAGGTTCCTCGGGTCGTGGGGGATCATGGAGACCAAGAGGTCACCGTGCCAGAGGCGTGGTCGGGGAGGAAGTCCAGCTGGGGGACGGAGAGGGCCGGGGGGTCGTGGCATGTGGCACAGGGGACTTGACAGGGGGTGGGGTGGGGGCAGCCGTGTCTGGTCCAGGCAGGGCTCCTGGAACTTTTGAGCAGGCGCTGGGAGGAGTCGTGCAGTGTGCCGCCCCACCAGGAGGCACTGCCGCTCCCTGGGGGTGCGGAGGGGGAGGGGCAGGCAGGGATCCCAGTCTGTACCCCCTGGTGTGAACCACTCACGAGGTGGCCCGGTGGGGTGTGCAATTAATGTGCAAGTTCCACTCGGAGCTGGAGATGGGAATTCTGGAATCCTCAAACACAAGTGGGTCCTAAAGCCCTTGAACTCACGAGGAAGGTCCCAGGGGTGCACAGCCAGGGCCATCCGCAGGCCCAGTGGAGGCAGCCGGGGGGCACGGCTGCTGACCTGGGCCTGGACAGGTGAGACGCTGAGGTGCAGGTGGTGGGGGGGCCCTGCTCACGACTGCCGTTCACACACCCTGGAGGGTCCCGCTCTGGCGTCCTGACGTCTTGTGTCTTGTGTGAGTAAAATAGATTGTCGTTGTTTTTTTCTTTTTAAGAATAAACTCTTTTCTCCGTGGCACTCAGGAAAGCCATTTTCATTCTTAACGCGTTCACATGGGGTTTGTCTCCCCTGAACTGGCTCTCACGCGGAAGAGAGCTCTGTCCGTGGTCCGTTCCTGAGCACATGCGATTCCGGAAGGAAGGGCGCCAGAATGCACCTTATGCTTCCTAGCGGCTGGATTTTCTTCATGCAGCTGTGCCGGCCCTCAGCAAATGGGGGTGCTCCTTGAAACTTGTTGCTTGGGTTCATTTGGAGCAGGCGTTTGTGGTTCTCGTGCTAATAATGCCATCGCATTTAACTTTCTGCAAAACCCGCTTGCTTCTTAGAAATTCAACCTAGAATCCAGAGAAGCCTGATAAGGTGTAACACGAGAGTGTGGTGGGGTCCCTTTGGGAGTCTAGGACGTGACGGTGGCTTCAGGGAACATGGTCTTGGGGCACCAGACCTCTGTCCTGTCTGGGGTTCAGTCCAGCAATGAGAATCTCGGGGGGCCGGGCGGGGGGGAGGCTGTGTACAAAACACACACGCGCTCTGATGATCATTTCAAAGGGTCTTTGGCTTTGAGCGCACGTCTCGGAACCTGTGTAATAGGGTAAGTCAGTGTGCCTGCATATCTGAGCGCCAGGCTGCCTTGGAAGGCTCGTGGGGCCTGCTGTGTGCAGGGGTGCGCCGTGTGCTGGGAGTGTGCGAGCCCCTGGAAGCCAGCCGTGCCCCGACACTGCTGTTGCAGAGAATTGCCCCTGGGAGCAGGGGCCTGGGGCGGGGGAGGTGCTGGGGGTCGGACCGTGGGGGCTGGAGCAGGGGGCGGGGGGGGGGGGGGGGGGGGGGGTGTCACGCAGGAGACGCTGCGTGGATGTGCCAGCGTCAGAGGTGAGGGAGGGAGGCGCTGCTCGGCAGTGGGGTCCAGAGGTGCCGTGACGGGCGGGGCGTGGGGATCAGACGGCGGTCTGCCGCTACCATCGCACCCCAGCACCACTGTTGGGGGCAGAGGGCAGAAAGGACCCTCCCCTGGAAGCCCTTCACCCCCGACAGCCCTCGAAGCGAGGGTCCAGCTGAAAGGGGAGCTCTTAAACCCAGCGTGGTGCTCGCCGCGCCCCAGTCAGCCACCAGACCGCAGCGTCTCGTCGCTGTCAGCACATTTGTAGATAAATGGAGGTTGTGAGAGTGTCCACTGTGTGCGGTGTGACCACAGGGGAGCCTCGCCGCACGTGTGTCGGGGTGCGGACAAGGGCCGCCCCTGTGGGTCTGCTGGGGACGCCGGCTCGGCACCTCTCCTCCTCAGTGCGACCCCGTGCTGGGGGCCCCGGCATCCACCTTCGGGCGTGCCGTTCTGTTTTCGGACCCGGAGGCTCAGCCGTGCACGTGTACTTCCCGCTCTGCCTTCACCGGTGTCTTCACGTGCTCTGGGGACGCACGCCCGAGTGAATCGCCCTCTTGCCAAGAACGCTGTTTTCGACACGTTGTTTCAGCGTAACGTGACGGAGGTTCAGGGAACTCACATGCACAGTTAGTCTGCGTGTTCACACTTTGAGGGACGGTGCTCAGTTCCAAGAACCATTGATTTTCTCTGTTACGTAAAGGACGTGTTACATCGACCTCGCGGGACGTGTACCGTTAGCTGAAGCTCGTCAGCTGTTCGGTTCTTACCCGTTCACGTGGCTCACTGCTCATGGCTGCGGTTGAAAACCTGCGGGCGCCTGGGGGGCTCAGTCGGTGGAGCATCTGAAGTTCAGGTCATGATCTCGCAGTTGGCAAGTTCGAGCCCCACTTCAGATCCCGTGTCCCCCTCTCTCTGCCCCTCTCTTTTTCTCTTAAAAATAGAAATTCTAATTAAAAATGAAACCTACTTCAGCTCGTTTTCAGGCAGGAGGCTGACTGTCCAGGGCAGGAGCAGAGTGTGTTCCTTCCGCTGAGATGTGACGCCCCACACAGGGAGGAACAGGAGTCCCTTCCCCTCCCCAGAGACATCGGGCTGCACGTGGGCATTCTCCGAGGGAGGTTGGGGTTATGCTCTGTCCTCCCTGGAGCCACATCATCCCCTCCGCGGGTGGCTGTGGAGGCTGAGAAGAAGGTCCCCGATGGCTGGCTGAAGCGGGGGGGGGGGGGGGGGGGGGGGGGGGGGGAGCAGTGGCTCCGTTCCTGCAGGAACGATGTTGTATCTGACGGAGGTGCAGGCTGGTTAGGAAAAGCTTCCATCAGAACCGCTGCATCCGTCTGTCCTGTAAGCGCTTTTCCCGCCGCCGCCCGCCTCGGCCCCTGCCCGCAGTGAGCAGTCTCGGATCGCCCGCCTCCTTCAGAGGCATGACCCCGTGTTCCGTGCGGAGATCACGTGGTCAGGATATGGGGCCGCGCCTCTTTCTGGGAAAATTCGGAGTGTCCTCGTGCATGTGGAGCGGCGGGTGGTGTGACATCGAGAGGAAGGGACGCGCTGGGAGCCGCGAATGCGTGTTCACGGAGCGCGAGGGTCGTCTGCGGCGGCTGAGCCCACAGCACGCGGGGCCGCACGTGACTCCAGCCAGGGACAGGAGGCCGGCCGCTGCAGGGACGCCTCGGGCTGCTGGCCCCTGAGTGGAGGGGCGCGCAGTGCCGGACGCTTGATAAATGTGCTTGGTTTAAAGCGAATTAGTTGAAAATCAAAGTAAAAGTCTGTAGTTGGAAAGATCTTGTCACCATCCTCCAAGGAAAAGGAAATTAAATCTCTGTGTGGTGAGAACCATTCGCTTATCCCAACAGGATTAGAAGTGATTCTTAATTGGATCATTGAATCTTTGTTTTTTAAGTTTACTTAGTTATCTTGAGAGAGAGAGAACATGCGGGGGAGGAACAGAGAGAGAAGGAGAGAGAATCCTAAGCAGACTCCATGCTGTCAGTGCAGACCCAAACTCGTGAACCGTGAGATCATGACTTGAGCTGAAATCAAGAATCGGTCGCTTAACCGACTGAGCCACCCAGGTGCCCCAAGGATCGTTGAATTTTCTGTGATTTCGATAGATTTGAATGTTTTTCAAAAAAAAAAAAAAAAAAAAAAGATGAATAAACTTTCAGGGACTTTTTCCTGTATGTAAAACCACGGTGTTTGCTTGTCCCCAACTTACTGGGAAGCTGTTGCTTGGTCACCGGTAACCAGCAAGTAGGCACCTGTGTCCCTCGGGCTTTAGTATTTCTAGGCCTTTTACCGTGGCCCGGGTGGGGGCGGGGCTGTCTGGTGACCGAGTGCAAACAACTTTACAGACGCCTCTCAGGACGAGGGATGCGTGGTGCCCTGAGAATAACCAGCAGCAGGAAGAAGGAGTGGGCCACGGGAGGCCTCCCTGGGGAGGTCTGCTGCGGGGGGTCCCGGAGAATGCCATGCCAGCTGCTGGAGAGGAGTGGGCTCTGTGCTGGGGTCACACACGCCCCTTCCTGTAGTCCCCAGGTGTGTCTGCTGCGTTTGCCCGGTGCCTTCCAAATCAAGTGTCGGCGGGGCAGCCTGTCTCTTTTATCAGAGCACAGCAGTGGGAGGCGGACAGACAGGAGCCACTGCCTGTGTTTTCACAGGCAGTGGCATGTGTGTATTACACCAGCTACTACACATGCCTGCCTTTCCTACTGCCCTGACCTCCCCCCCGCCGAGAGAGGAATGCGACGTGACCACCTACTTTCCTGACCCTGCCCATGATGTGTACGTGCCCAGCTCAGCAGGAGTGACGGCCCTTGCCACCCAGGACCAGCCCCACCCCCCCCAACCACAGCAGAGTCGAGCAGCGGGGTGACCTCCACCATCACCACAAGGTACGCCCACTTTTGCCCCTCGCCTGGCACTTCCGCGTTCGTGGTTTGGGGTTTTTCATCAGGGTGTGTGGAAGACCTCAGGGTCCAGATCCCCGGTTACAGAGTTGATGGCATAACAGAAATTGTCATGTCGTAAACACTGAGAAAATCGATTCCCAGTCAGCGCCCCGCGTCACCCCAACCTTCGTATCCTTAGCGCCCCTCAACTCTCGTAACCCCCTGTCCTTGGCACCCCACGCTGCCCCGGCCCCTGTGTCCGGTCTTTCTGATGTGCTGACATCTCAGCTGGGCGGTACTAGGGAAGGAAGACCAGTGCAAAGCGAAGCTGCAGTTGTCAGCAAGAAACAGGCTTTTGTGGAGTTAACACAAGTGACTCCCACAAGCCGTAGGCAGATGGGGTTCTGGCTGTCAGACCCATCGAACCGCTGACCTAAAGTGGCAGTGGGCAGCGGGGCAGCGTCCAGGTGTCTGCAGACAGAGCAGGTGCTTTGTTGGGGGCACCGGGTGCCTGTGCTGGAAGTCGACAGAAACTTGGATGTTTCTGCAAAATGACCTGCCTTCTGACTGTGCTAGGAAAGAGGGTGTGAAATGAGAATGTGGGGCTACACTGCCCACGTTCTCTTTTTAGCTTGAAAAAAAGTCAACACGTGATTTACTCTCGGCTGCCTCTAAGAATTAGCTCGTGGGGTGCCTGGCTGGCTCAGTCACTTAAGCATCCGACTCTCCATTTCAGCTCAAGTCGTGATGCCAGGGTCATGGGATGGAGACCCGCATCGGGCTCTGTGCTGAGTGTGGAGCCTGCTGGGATTCTCCGTCCCTCTCTCTCTGCCCCCCAACCCCAATAAAATTTGTAAAAAAAGAATTAGCTCCTAATTGGAGGGAAATGTTAGGGGTGAACTTGTTTTCATGATTTAAAGTCTTAATTTCCATAAAACCGCCATTTTTACCCATTGGCAACGATATTTTGGTCCCTGTTTTAAACCAGAGGACTTTGGGTAGTTTTTGTGTTTGAGGTCACGCTCAGAGCCGCCCTGTGTGTGTGTCACTGCGTGCGGGTGCGGCCCGGGACGCTGAGAGCCCTCGGCAGCGCTCTGCGCCGGTGCACCTGCCAGCGGTCTCAGGAGGCCCCCGCACCGTGTGATGAGACTCTTCTCCGCAGTGCACTTGCTCCCGTGGCGGCCATCATCCCCCCGCCCCCCGACATTCAGCCTGTGATCGACAAGCTGGCGGAGTACGTGGCTCGGAACGGCCTTAAGTTCGAGACCAGCGTTCGTGCTAAGAATGACCAAAGGTGAGGGGAGGAGTGGCGTGTGGTGGCCGGACACGGGTGCTCGGCACGTCACTTAGCTTGTCAGTCTAGCCGCGTTCTCTCTTCACCGCGGTTAATCCTTACGTGTTTACGTAAATACGTCTTACAACCACCTTGCTGAATTACCTGCAGTTGGGTGGGGGGGACTCGTTTGTCTTGTTTTGTTCTTTAGGAGGAATGTCGAAGCACCCGAAACGGAGCTGGCACCCATGCTTTTCAAAACTCTGCCATTCAGGGCGCCCGGGGGCTCAGTCGGTTGAGCGCCCGACTCTTGATCACGATCTCATGGTTCATGGGTTCGAGCCCTACATCGGGCTCTGCGCTTGGCACGGAGGCTGCTTGGGATTCTCTCTCTCCCCCTTTCTATGCCTGTCTCCCGATCACACCCTCGCTCTTTCTCTCTCTAAAACGAAGAATCTGCCATTCAGCAGGGAGGGAGGGTGAGGTGGGTGATGGGAATGAAGGATTGAGCACCGGGCAGCGCACAGAGGTGTTGTCACTACACTGTGCTCGGGAAACTGCTATAACTCTGCGTGTGAATTAGATGAAATGAAAATAAAAACTGAAAAAACATGTGTGCCAGGTAAAAAAAAAAAAAAAAAATACAAGTTAAAAAAAAAGGTGTGTGTTTGTAAACAAAAACCGAAGAAGCAGAAAACAAAAGAATCTGCCATGTAATGAAATCCCGTTCCACGCCTCGGGTGTGAACCATCCAGAGTGAGGTGGCGGTTACAACGTTACAGCGCGAGCGTGGGCGAGCCCCGCGCCCTCCCTACGCCTCGTCTCCCTTGTCCACGAGGTGGGGAGGGTACGGCCATTGCTTCTGCGCACGGCCGAGGCGGTACCTGGCTTGAGTGGGTCGCTGGAGGGCGTCGGGGACGGCGTGTGCCGGCGGCGAGCAGGCAGGAGGAACCCTGGCGCCAGCCGGGGCGCGTGCCCGCACGAGTGACTCACCGCCCTCTCCGCTCCTAGGTTTGAGTTCCTGCAGCCCTGGCACCAGTATAACGCCTATTACGAGTTCAAGAAGCAGTTCTTCCTCCAGAAGGAAGGGGGCGACAGTGCACAGGTGTGTGTCTGCAGGGCAGGGAGGCTCCGGGTTCTGGACGCAGCAGGGATTTTGTGCGTACGGGCGGGATGCAGGAACGGGCTCGCTGAGCCCCTGGCGCGGACGGTCGTGCGCAGCACATGCCGTCTCTACCCTTCCCCGCCTCTCAGAGGTGAAACCGGTGTTTGGGGTCCGTAGTCATAGTTCACTGATGAGCCACGTGGCCTGAACAGAGCACCCGCGCTCTCCAAGCGTTTGATGTCCCGGTGGCTGTTATTTGTAACTGCTTTTGGTGGAGGCCACATACCATATTTGTACAACGTCTCCTTCCGTGCATAAAACGTAGACGTGTGTGCACGGCTGACGCGGGAGCTGCGTGGTGCACTCCGGGCCGCAGACTTCGTCCTTGGGCGGCCTGCCCCCGGGCCGCGTCCCCACGTGTGACCCTCAGATCCACTGGACGCTGCTCCTCCTGCCCTTCAAGTGCTGTCCTGTTCCACCCCCCTCGTTACATGGCGCCCTGACGTTTTGTTCAGACCTGCTTTGGTAGATGGCGTAAGCCTTGCTCACTGTCCGTGGGTTTCTTCGGACTTCGCACCTGTGATCGCTCAGACTGAAGCATATGCCTCACCTGCGGGCGGTGGGCACGGCCCCGAAAGGGTTCTCGGGCATCCGCGTCCAGAGAAAAGGCCGTGAGCATCGGCGCCCGGGCGGTGTTAGAGCTCTAAGACGCGTTCTGTGCTTCCAGAGGGAAAGCCTCACGCGTACTCGCCTTTCCGTTCTGCTGTATCAGACAATGGCAGGTCTGAGTTTCCAAGAGTGCGTTCCTTAGTGCTGCGTGAGCAGTAACATGTGGTCCAGCGGAGTCTGTCGGTCTGTCCGTGACCCATCCTGGGCGGTTCCTTACCGAGCAGCTTATGGTCATGTTTATTTTCTAGGCTGTGTCAGCACCAGAAGAGGCCCCGGCAGAATCTGCCCCTGAAAAGCCAAGTGACGCTGGGGAGGACGGTGTGTGCGAAGACTCGGCCGACGCAGGAGGAAGAGGAGGCCCCGGGGGGAAGAAGGAGGCGTCGTCCAGTAAGACGGTCGCAGACGGGAAGCTGGTGAAAGGTACGCTGCTGCCTGTCTTGGCCTTGCGGGGTTCCTTCAAGTTCAGAGAAAGGTGCCTCTGGCCGCAGGGCAGGGGAGTCACCGCTGTCAGGTGGTCGTAACAAAGCTTCCGTGCGCCACGGTGCTCTCCTGATTCGGGCCCGTGTGGACCTGAGCTCACGTGAGATGTCCCTGTTGTGGCAGTTCAGTGAGAACGTTTAGCGTGTTTCAAACGATGTTTCATATCTCCTTGGACTTCTGACAGCACACTTAGGTGCACACTGTTGTACTAGTGAAATCAGTCGTCTTTATTTGTTCAGTGGCATGTCCTGAGGCCTCTACCGGGCAGGACTGCACTCGCTGCATTTGGTTGCCTTTTGTGTTCTTGGAGTTCTTCATCTAGCAGGACAGATGTGCATGGAAGGAAGCCAGCAGAATAAAAAGCGGGGAAAAGCTGACACAGGCACGTTAGCAAAGAAGTAAGCGGTCAAGTGTGTGAAGATGCATTGAGTCCCACCGTGTGGAGACGAGGAAGCCTGTGGGGAGGAGGGGTGCACGCCGGTGTTGATGGTGTAACGGTGGTCCCAAGACCAGGCTGCCGTCCCCGGTAGAGGCTGTGCAGGCGGGGCTTGGAGTGGCGGGTGGGTCCTGGGGAACAGCCTGGAAGGTGTCCATGGCCAGCTCGTGGGCTCCCAGGGGCCAGATCAGAGGAGCAACTGCATCCAGTTGGGTAACTTTGTGAGGACACTGGGCACAGGACCGCCTGGGGGTGTTGGTGGGACCGCTGGTCAGTCACAGAGCTGCAGGAAGGGGAGTGGGAGAGGGAGTGGGCTCGTGGGGCACAGGCGGAGGCCAGGCAGGTGCAGGGTTGGGGAAGGCGGCAGGGCCCGGGGAAAGGCCTGTGCTTTGCATTGAGGGGCCTCGTGGCACAGGATGGTGATCCAGACTAACCAGACCGGCCCCGACGGGTGACAGCGGGGAAAGTCGCCAGACCAGACATGCACACAAGGGTCTTTGGGCCTCTCGTTCCAGGACTTACCTGAGCACTTGTGTTCAGTCCCTCACCCTTCCCGGCCGCCTTCAGACGCTCGTTGAAGTAACAGCGGAACGTAATGAGTAGAGAATAAAATCTGTTGTTGCTACGGAAGTGGGGGAGGCTCTTACCGTCCATGTTGCGGGACAAGGCAGCCCGCCCAGAATTTCCCACCCAGGGAAGAGAGGGACACTTCAGGACTCGGTGGCAGTGAGCCCCGGGGGAGCGCACTGTCAGGCAGAGAGGGGACAACAGGCGGCCTGCCCTTGAGCCAGGGCCACCTCCACACCCCCACGGTCGTGTGGCACCTGGGGCAGAAATGTCCTGCTTCCCTCCCACCCGCTGCCCCAGGCCGTCGGCTCCAGACGGGCACCACGGCTTTGACGGCCCTGGCTTGAGCCTCAGCGCACGGGCGCCAGGAGCCAGAGTGACTGAGCACCAGGGCCCAGTGCGGCTGGCGGTGTGACCTCCGCGTAGCCCGCTGAGGACCGGCCTCCACGTGGTAAGACAGTGAAAGCCTGAAAGTCAGGCCCGATGAGAAGACAGGTTGAAAGTTGTTCTCCTGTCCCAGGCAAGAGGACGGAGGTGGCAGCAAAGCATCCACAGAGAAGAGCAGGCAGTTGTCCCCTGGGCAGAGAGCAGGCCTGTTGGTGCATCAGACCCACGTCTGCACCGTAAAAGCCAGATGATTAAGGTGTGTCTGAAATTCTGAATGAGCAATATTCTGGATGCTACTGGGCACAGACTTTTACAAAGGAATGAGAGAAAGTGAGGACGATGAGAATGTTTCTTCTTCTTGATTTTTTTTTTTTTTTTTGAAGATTTTCTTTTTAAGTAATCTTTACACCCAGTGCAGGGCTCGAACTCCAACCCAAGATCAAGAGCCACACGCTCCACCGACTGAGCCGGCCGAGTGCCCCAGTGAGAATATTTCTTGTCAAAAAATTATCACGCGCGGTGAAAACCTCAAATAAAAACCTACATAACCTGGTGTGCTTATGTTGAGAAACAGAAACCACAACGAGCCTTCAACTCGACAACCTGGAAAGAAACTGTAAAGTGCATCTAAGGAAAGCAGGAGAAGGGAATCCATAACAATGAAAGTGGGAACCAGTGAGAAACTGGTAAAGACCAGTAAAACGCGACTGCAGGCTTCCTGCAGAGAATAGTGGAGGAAACGCACAACACATAGTGCGTGAGAAAACAGTCACAGGCATTTGCAGTACGTGGATACTGAGTGTAACTGCATTTAAACAAATCTGGAAATAACTGAAAAAATTCTCTGAGAAAGTGTAAATTGCTAAAATTATCTCAAGAGGCGGCAGCATGACACATGTGTGGGTCTCAGAGAATTTAGGAAGCGTTCACCGTTCAGTGGGGACCACGTTGCAGACAGTCAGCTGGCCGGACGGAGTCGAGGCCAAGCTTGTTTCCCACAAGAGGGCGTGAAACCTGCGGGACTAAAGCCACTGCCACGCGCAGGACAAACTAAGGGGTCCGAGCAGCTTGCTAGCGGCCTGTCGGCCCCTCCCCGAGCAACAGGGACACTAATGCCTCGCCACCCAGCCAACGCAGTCAGCCGTGCGAGCAGGCGAGAGCTGTCCTCTGTCTCCATCCGTAGGTGCTGAAGAAGCATCAGAGTGTCCTCACGCGTGGCTGGGAGAGCTTCTTTACCGTAATAACTGACTCTGTCTTGGGGGGAAAAATAGGATTCCAGATAAAGTATTAAAAGGTAAAAATAAGTTCAGTAATCTAAGCGTTGGAAAAGACTTTCTGAGAGTTGAAGCCGTAAGTCATAAGGAAAGAATAGTAGGTCTGATGGGGGCAGGACCTGAATAAAGTTAAAGACAAATGTCAAAACGTCGATCGCTAACAGAAGATAGAGGGTTCAAATCCGTACCGTAGAAAGCGCTCATCCATTGACAAGAAGACACTCACTGCAGCGAGAAAACCAGAGACAGAAGATATGAAAAGATCGCTCACAAAAGAAGAAAGATAGATGGTCAGTAAATACATTTTTAAAGTGTATCTTCACTGGCAAATGGTGTTTTTTGCCTCTCGGGTTGGTGAAGTTGGAAAGTAATGCTCAGCGAGGGAGGGGCTGCAGGGTGATGGGGACCCTCGTCGGCTCGGTACAGCATGTGGAAGAGGCCGCCCGGTGCAGGGACCCCTCTCCATGCGGATGCCCTCCCCCTCGGAGCCGTGGCTCCACCGGGTATCCAGAGCAGGAGTTCATCACGGGGCTCGCCAGCTTTCAGAAATAAAACCTTGGCAATGGTCGTGGGAGACCATGTAATAAATTGGAACCTCCAGACCAAGAAATAATAGTCCTAATTTTAAAAATGACCTTTGTGGACACAGAGATGTGGGAAGATGCTGCCTGGGGAGCAGAAGCAGGCTGGAACATGGTCCAGTGTGGCCCCGGTTTCGTGTGTGTGCCCGGGAACCGTGCGGGTGACTTTCTCCCACATCTGCGCTGTGGTGGATCTTCCGTCCTGTCCACCTGTGGTTTCAAAGTTTTCCACAGAGAACGTAATGACTTGTGAAGGCTGACGCCAGCAGCAAAGCTTGTTCCCGTGCTCCCGGAGGTCTGGGGACAGGGAGCTCCTCCACGCGCGCTGGCTGAGGACTTGCTGCACCGGCCCGGCTCCCGGCCACTTCGGTGCCCACGACAACCCCGCAGCCTGCAGCCTGGGTGAGCGGGCCGTGGCCACGACACAGATGTGCAGAGGTGTGGAGGAGAGAGGCCCGGCAGGCTTCCACCAGCTGAGGCTGGAGGAGAAAGAACGAAGCAGGTGGAAGGAGGCAGAGGCGGGGGAGGGGAGGCTAGCAGTGGGTGGGCCGCGCAGATGGAACCCGGGGCCAGAGCCGGGAGGGCCGGGGGTTCGTCCCCACCGCAGGGAGCCATGGGCGGCTGCAGCAGAGTCATCAGATGCTCAAGTAACCCTTACGCTGAGCAACGGTTTCAGAGCCCTCGCTCTCTGCCTGAGCTAGCACGGGACACTCCTTGGCCTGTTTTGCCTCGGTTTCCTCATCTGTACGTAGGGAGCCCAGGGGCGTCTCTGCCGGGCTTGTGGGTGTGAGGTGAGGCCTGCAGCCTGCCCCACTACTCCGTTTGTCTTAAGTCGGTCGAGAGTCTGTGCCCCGTGACGGGGTCTGGCTGCTCTTTGGCCTTGCACCTCACATGCATAAATACCAGACGTACACAATAGGCGTCGTGTTAGCATACAAAGTGTTCCGGAAGCTTTCGTTGTAAAGTCTCGTATTTGTTGATTGCTGACCTTTCGAATTTGGGGTGACAGATGGTTTGAGAATGATCATTGTGAAGTTATTTTGAGGGGCGCCTGGTGGCTCAGTCGGTTTAACGTCCCACTCTTGACTTCTGCCCAGGTCATGGCCTTGTGGTTCTTGAGGTCGGGGCGAGCCCTGAGTCGGACCGCGCGGATAGCGGATAGCATGGAGCCTGCTTGGCATTCCCTCTGCTCCTCCCCCGCACACACACATGCGCTCTTATTCTCTCTCTGTCTCTCTCTCTCAAAATAAATAAACCATAAAGCTGTTTCGAGATGTAATACTGTAGTCTCAAGTTGAGCAATTTTGATTAACACTTAAGTGAATTTTTTTTGCTTTTTAAGTTTTGCCAACCCTGTTTATTAAAGAGATCGTATTCCTGTAGGCAATAGTTAGCACTGTCGCCCTTGTTTCCTCACGGAGAATTTCAAGGTGTATGAGAGCACCCCACCCGCTCCCGCCGCCCAGCCACAGACCAGGCTTGCCCCTGCCGTTCACTGCAGCCCACCCCAGAGCATTTTCGGAGGGGGTCCCCGGCATCGTGGCCTTTCATCCGTAAATGATTTAACGTATCTCCCGAAGATGGGACTGTTTCCAGCAGAAGCACAGCACCACGGTTAATACTGACTCCCCAGCAGACCGTGTTTGTGACCCCTGTGTGCTCTGTTCTCAGGGGTTGTCGTGCATCGGGGCGCAGTGTGCAGTCAGTCTGAAGCTGTTTTCCATCTGACTTACCAGCTGTGCCTTTCCAAGCATTTAGGATCTGGGGGTGCTCTCTCTTGGGGTGCTTGTGGACGAAAGGGTTATTGGGGTAGTTACGTGCTTCAAGGCCTGCGTGGTTCTGGAGCCAGAAGTGCAGAGGGCGGGAGCCTTGGGGGCCAGCTGGGCCACCCCTCCCCACCTGCGGTCACCGCAGACACATCCCTTCTAGAACCTGCCCTGTTCTCTTGTGGAAAATCCCAAGCACGTGTACAAACAGTGTGGGTGATGGAGCACACCCACCCGGATCCTGCTCCCCCTCAGAGTTGGCTGTTTGCGCTGCACTTTAAAATTTCCCTTCCTTGTCGTTAACTTGAGTGTCTTTCGTGAGTAATAGTTCGTGGTTTTTGAGAGTGAAGTAGCACAACGCAAGCAATTAGGCGTTAAGAACCAGCGTCGCTGTGTGTCTGGAGGAGGGGGCTCCGCGGGTCAGTGTTGAGTGGGTGGGGGGACGGGGAGGAAGGCTCCTTCCTCTTGGGCCTTTGTAGGTCTCTCACTGAAGTCCCCAAACATTCTAGGGGAGGACTTTGAACCACCTAAGCTTTCGTTACAGTGGGTTAAAAGTCTTGTCACAGCTGCCGAGCGGTCAGAGGTGACGCCTAGCACAGAGCAGGCGCCCGGTAAACCGAAGAAGGAAACAGATCCCGTCACTTGCTTTGTGAGAAAAGGCTACCGTGTACGGCTGGGAGTTTTTAGAAATACCTTTTTATAGTGGAGCCGCATCATACGTCTGACTTGTACCAACTCAGCCACGTGCTGAGCCCAAAAAAGAAGGAAAACCCCAAGAGGAAGTGCCCCTTTACCAGTGCAGCGGCCCTGGATGCCGCTCTGGGCGTGCTCCTCGCGAGACGCACGTGGCGGGCCAGCCTCCCCGCGCCCAGCGTGCACTTGAACGGCCCCCTTTGACAACGCAGGCGTTGCCGCCGCCCCCAGAGGCCCCTGGGCGTGAGACGCGGCTGCACCAGGGAGGCCGCCCCGCAGCTGGCGCTCGCGTGGACGGCGGGGCCGTGGGGGCTGTGCTCTGTGCCTCCAGGTACCTAAACGTGCGTCACCATGTTCACTTTTCCCAATAGCTTCATTTGCTCCAATAAGCTTTGCGATCAAGGCCAAAGAAAATGACCTCCTTCCCCTGGAAAAAAACCGTGTTAAGCTAGATGATGACAGTGATGATGATGAAGAAGGCAAAGAAGGCCAAGAAAGTTGTAGCGGCACCACAAACACGACCCCGGCAGTCGCCCCGCCCTGTGCGGTTGTTGAGGAGAAGCGGCCCCAGCTAACCCAGGAGGAGCTAGAGGCGAAGCAAGGTTTGTCAGCACGTTTTACACCTTCTTGAAAGGCAGGCAGTGGCACAGGACTAGCCTCCTAAGCCCGCAGCGCTGGGATGAAGCCCCCAGCCGGGGCACGGCAGGACCTGGGGGCAGCTGGTGCTTGGTGCACGCGGAGAGTTCTCTGGTAGAGCGGTGGGCACTGCCCTTCCTAAGCTCCGGATGCAGTGCCCCCGGCGGCTCGTTCTAGAGAGCGCGTTACCGGGGGGTGGGGGCCTTGGCGCTCTGAGGGCCGCCTTGGGTCGAATGCTCAGCCCGTGATCCCGGCTCGGCTGATGGACCCAACTAGGAGATACCCTTTCGTGAGGCCTTCTGCCCACAGACAGGCCCTTCGAGAGGACGTGGGCCGGAGCTGGTTTCCAGACTGGGGCTTGTCTTCACAGGTCACAGCCTGGCCACCGCCGGCCCCCGACCACCAGCAGTGTGTGGGAGGGCCTCTCACAGTCTCTTACCCCTAAATAGTTCCGTTTTGCGCTACAGCAGTTAGCAGTTCCTGTCTGTCCTAACTGGTTCCCGGACGTTGCTTTTCCTGCACGTGCACAGACAGGTGACACAACATTTCCAGGTGGCTCCTGAGCAGGCTCAGGCCAGTGCACCGGGTCCCCTCGTGCACGTACCACTGCGCACAGAACCGTGTGTCGGGACGTGCTCGAACGCAGCACCCCTTGTCGGGCATGAGCATTAGGGACCCGTGTTCACGAGAGCCTAAGGCTTTCTGAGGGTTTCATGACTCCGACTCTCCCTGGTGTGGAATCCCATCCACCCCGACTTTGATTTTGAGGGTGAAATATTTAAAATCCTAATAGTAAGCATTATGAACTAACTGCCTCACAATTCAGCTTGCCTGATTTGTTTACTTATCCTGCAATTTGTGTCATGTTAATCTCTTAGAATAACCACGTTGTATCCTGTGATCCTTTCGCTGCTTGTGAAAACTAAGATAGCGAGGTGTTTTTAGAATAGCACTTGTTCTAAACATCACTTTTTCTGTCGTTCGTTTCTTAAGCAAAGCAAAAGCTGGAGGACCGACTGGCGGCCGCTGCCAGGGAGAAGCTGGCCCAGGCGTCCAAGGAATCGAAGGAGAAGCAGCTTCAAGCGGAACGTAAAAGGAAAGCAGCTTTGTTTTTACAAACCTTAAAAAATCCCCTGCCAGAAGCAGAAGTCGGAAAAGTTGAGGAAAATCCTTTCAACGCAGAGGTGAGTGAGAGTCCACATCAGCATCGCGGGCGAGAGTCTCTGGCCACTCGGGTCCCCAGCCTGAGAGGGGGCTGTCAGCAGACCCCGCTCTTCTGCGGGGGCCGGCGTGCTTCCGCTGTGAGTTTGGGGAAGACCCCGTTAGGGTACTCTGGGCCCTGGGCTTCGCTGGGGGGGGGTGGGGGGGTGGGGACACACATTCCCCTGGGGACAGACTCGTCCAGAGCAAGACCTGTGACGTCTCGGGTCCACATCAGCGTCAGTACTTGAATTAAAAAAGAAAACAAGCTGTGGTCGCTCCCGCCTTTTCTGGGGAGGGCCAGCACCTCTGCCAGCATCGCCCTCCGTTCCCATGGGCTCGCATGTCCACACACCAGCGTCCCCAAAGTGTCTTTTGTAGTGGCCTTTCCCTGGAATGTAGAAGCAGTCCTGCACTCTTTCCCTTCGGTTCCGTTGACGTTTCTGAGAGCCCAAGGCCGTTATTCAAAATAGATCTTGGCCGCATGCAGCCGCCTGGTTTATTTGTTTTGCGTGGAAAACAGCTCACGGGGTTCAGGCCTCCCTCCTCCTGTTGAAGGCGGAGCCCGCGCTGTCTCCCCTCAGGAATCAGTCCGGAGCCCTCAGGCCTGGCGGGCGGCCTCAGAGCCGGGGTCGGCGAGGAGGGCAGGAGGGGTGGGCTCCTGCAGGCTGTCCTCAGACCGGCCTCGAGTGTGCGGAGGCGAGGGGGTGCCCAGGGGGATGCCGGGACACGGCCACCTCCGCTCCTCTCCCTGCACCCCCGAGGCGGGCCACCGGGTGTGGGCCCAGGTGCCCCCAGTCCTGGGCTTTGGGGAGCCACGGCCCTGTGGTGACGGGCCCGGGGAGGCCCGGGACGTAACAGAAGTTGTGCGTGTGGCAGGGGATTGGGCGCAGGGGGGCCCTGGGTGCACTGCCAGTTGCCTGCGTTGTCCGTTGTCCCGGTGTCGTTGGTGCGGCGAATAAGAGACCGAGGTAACGGCCACCTGCATGCATGGACTCAGCCGGTGCCGCTACACGCTCGCGTCTGTTTCCCAGCGACGCCGTGTTGGAATGCAGGCTCCGTCCCGGCCAGAATTCCTCGTCGTCAACGTGGTTTTTCCCAGCCTGCCGTGTTGCCTGGTCACGGCCCCCAGAACTCTCTCCCTGTGAGCACGAGACAGGCTTCCGCTTAGGCTTTTCTCCTGTGTCTCTTTCTACGCGGCCTCGCCCACCTGCCGGGTTTCCAGCGTGTTTTACGTCTGCACGACGTAGAGATGGGTGTTTATGCTTCCCGTTTGGTCACCAGGTGGATCTTCTTGCGCATCTAGTGGGACAGATTGTGGGTCCTCAGTGATTTGAGCAGGAGTGCAGCAGTAGTAGCAGATGGTAATAAACGTCTAACTGCTTTGAAACAGAAATACTTTAATCACATTGGCAGTTGTCATAACCGGGATTCAACTGGACGGTAATCTCAGCTGAAAGCAGCTTCTGGGGACAGGTTACCCTGCCTGCGTGTGTGTTCTGCGCTGAGCGGGAGTAGGATTGTCTCGTGCTGGGGACCTGAGCTCAGCGGGAGCAGGTGGCACCCCGGGTCTGTGTGAGCGGACGTGCGCGGGACAGCATGAAGACACCGCCCAGAAGGCCCCGGGCCGGAACCCGGCAGGATTTTGCTGTGGCTCATCTGCCCCAGGGTGTAGCAGGGTCTGCTTTCGCTGTTACTAAAGCAGGGCACGCACGTGTCCAAAACATTCAGGTGCGAGGGACAGGTACAAAATGGAGAGGAAGTTTGGTTTCCTTCTTGTGTGCTGTTTCACGATTCCTATGGAAATTTCCATTTCTTACTTTTATTTTAGGTTTTTCTTTTATAAAATAAACATACAGTTGATTATTATAGTTCCTCTTAAAAAAATTGTTTTAATGTTTATTTTTGAGAGAGAGAGAGAGAGAGAGTGCACAAGCAGGGGAGGGGGCAGAGAGAGAGGGAGAAACAGAATCCAAAGCAGCTCCAGGCTCTGAGCTGTCAGCAGAGAGCCCGACACGGGGCTCAAACTCACGAACTGTGAGATCGTGACCTGAGCGGAAGCCAGCCGCTCAACTGACTCAGCCCCCCCAGGCACCCCTCGTTTGAGCCCTTTTGAAGCCCCCTGTGCCGTGGCATGAAGCACACTCCTCTCGTGTGCAGCTGTCACTGCCCTCCGTCTCCAGGACTTTTTCATCTTCCCAAACGAAACTGTCCCGTCAACCACTGGCTCCCGGCCCCTGGCGCCCACATCTCTGCTGTCCGTGTCCATCAGCCTGGCTGGTCCTGGGGCCCTGTGAAAGTGGGAGTCCTACAGTGTCTGTTCCTCAGGGACCGGCTTCTTCGCTTCACGGAACATCCTTTTTCCAGGTGCATAATGCTGCATCATGTGTGTGCGTGCGCTCCATTTCATTCTTTGTGGGTTCTCACGGGAAACGGATCTGTTTCTGTGTGTAGATTTAAATGTCGCAGTAACAGGACCGGACCCTACACGTTATCCTGGTTTTTCCATCCTTGAAGAGCTGTTTCTGTCCACATCGGGGTCGTGCTCGTTGAGGATTTACTGGATGCACGACTGTCCGGCCTCTCCCACGTTAGCCCTTAACCTGACCCGGTCAGTGGTGGGCGTGCACACTGTTCCCGGGGCCTCGCTACCGTGACCGTGACCACGGTGCTGCTCTGAGCCTGGGTCCTGTCTTGCGCACTCACTTCGGTGCGCGTGTCCATGGGGCAGATGCCGGACTGTGGAAACGCTTTTAAATATCTGCTTTCGTGCCCCCACCAACGCCGCTTATCACCAGCCTTTGATCCTCATCCGTCTGACGGGCGGAAAGACGGCATCTGCGAGGGTTAGCTTGTGTGTGTTCGCTGCGGGGGTGTGAGTGACTTCACAGGCCCGGTGGCATCTTCGGCCCCCGTCCCCGAGAGCCGCCTTCAGAGCCTCCCCTCGTTGCCTCCTGGCTGTCTGCCTGTCTCTTCTCTGTCACCAGTGTCACAGACGTTTCTCTTTGTCCACGGGAGTCTGCACCGCTTGGAACTACTTTGGTTTAAGGAGCACGTGGCTGGACACGATGCATTCACCAAATCACTCACTTTGCCACTCATTGCGCAGGCCGCCCTGGAGCCCAGCCCAGCTCACACTTGCACATACCGACCTGCCTGTCAGGAAAGGGCACGTTATGTATCTGGGGGTAACCTGAAATGATGTCCTAAGGTGTGTTTATTGACGGGGGTGGATACTAACAGAACGCTAAGTGTTATATAAGTTTTGTGAGACATAAAGATCCACACAAGTGGTGCTTAGAAATCCCCGTGAACGTCTCACTTTTGGGGTGTGCGTGTGCTCTTAATTCAAAATGAAGGGAAACCGGGGTCTTCAGTTTGAACCCCCCTTGGGTTATGCAGTCATCTGCCCAGTGACAGCACATTTCAGGACACCTTCTAGACACCAGCAGTTTGTTCAAGTTAATGATCCTGCTGGGTTTACAGGCTGAACAGGAGTCTGCAAGGAGGTGGGAACAGGAATCAATTGCGCGTGCTGACCCTCTGTTGTTTCCAAGGCACCGAGGCCCTCCGGAAGGTGACTTAGAAGCCTGTGTCTCACCCAGATGCCCACACAACCCCGTTTGTCCCCCAGGACAGTCTAGCGGGGCACAGAGCAGCCAACACCAGATGAGCCGTGGGTGGTGCCTGGGCCCCCGGGAGGCAGAGGGGCGCACGGCCTGCCGAGGGGAGGGGGGGGG